CCCCAAAACCCCAAAACCCCAAAACCCCAAAACCCCTTTCTTGAGTTTTAGATAATTTTCGAACATTTTGGGGAAAATGAAACCAAAAGGAAGCTGGTGATTTTTGAGTCTAATGATATACTAAGTTTTTTACCAATTTTTACAATGATGAAAGAGATTGTTAGCATTACTCACCAAGTTTTAACTACTTTACAGTACCTAGCCCTTAATCTACTTGAAATTCAGACTACTAGATTCCCTCTCTTAAATGTATGCTAAAACATTGCACACCAATCAGAATTTGGAGAAAGGTGTATGACCACGAGTGCTTGTCGTGAGAACTTCTTAACTAAAGGAGTTTATGTCATCCATAAAACTTAAAATTTTATGAGAAAATTATTAAGCATCATTTGACTGTGACATAAGATTTATTGTAGCCACTGATGGTGTGATTTTCTCCTTAGACTTTGTATTCAGTGATGTTGAAATCGGTCCAGAAGAATCTATAGATGAGCCTTAAGCTAAACCTTTCATTGATTTCCTGTTTTGTTTCCGATTGAATAGCTTATCGTAGTAACTTGTCTTCTTGGCCTTTTTAAACGACCCAAGGCCTATACAGATCACCAACTATAGCCTACTCTTGCCATGCTCCTGGTTATAGATATTCTGACTGTATAAATTCCGTGAGTTATTGCTGCTATTCTTCATCGCTGAGTTTCAGAAGGAGTTCATTATCCTCTTAGCGTCATCTTCCGTGATGTAATTCTCCTTAGTTGATACATCTCTATACAGTTAGGGGCACTTTACTTTATCTTCTTGCCTTTGCCTTTCTCGAGCAAGTTATGGTAAGTTATGTTAGATTTGCCTTGGAGCATCACTGCGGTTCCCCCTCTTATCCCTTTGCTCTTATTACACTTACTGAATGGTTTCTTGGTAAACTCATTGGCTGAAATATCACTATCTTCAGTTTCTGAAAATTTACGAAGGTTATTCAGCGTTCTTGGATTACTTCTGTTTGAGGCGAGTTTAAAGTTTTTAGAAATCTTATTCTTCTCCTTCTTTATTAACTTCATTTCTTCCTTAATGTTGTTCTTTTCGTCAACGACCCGATCAAGGTAATCAAGCACGTTCCCTATGGTGACTTCTTGGCGTGCATTCGTCCTTGCTCTTGGATAATTTGATCCATGCTGGTTATTTTTAACGATTTGATTAAATCTTTGTTTGTAAGTATACGGTAAGTGTATCTCCATAGACTTCTTGTTGATGATAGTTTTAAGCTTATTAGCATCCTCGTTCTTCCGACGTAGTACTTCTTTACAGTAATCAAGCTTATTCTTGTGGTATCCAAGAGTGAGAAGCTTATCTTTCAGCTTAAGTTCTGTTTTACAGAGATTAGCTAGCTCTATCACTCATGAATCTTGCTGGATGCATTCTATATCTCTGATCCTTTTGAGGATCTTAATGATATCTTTATTTCTCTTTTCTTAGACCTGCAAGTTTGTCATTGAGACGGTTAAATTTCATTTTGAAGCTCTGCTCCATTTGCTTCTTACTTTCTGTAAAATTAAAAATTTATCTTATACCGTTTTCGATGTGCTTGCTGCACTCACTCATGAGTTCAAGTTCAAGAATTTCGAGCTTATTTTTCATGGTCTACTAGCTCTGGTTTTAAGTTAATTGCTTGTGGTTGAAGAATGCTATATATTGGCTCTACCATTATGCTCATGACTTGTAAGATCTGACTAAGTTTGTGTCTCTCGATGCTAAAATTTACCCAATTATGACTTACTTTTGCCTCGTTTCAAGTTTTATATTGATGTACTCCAATTCAAGTTTTATCTGCTTACTGATATGCTCGAGTGTGGCTCTGAGATACTCCTCAGTAGGACTATCCTTGTAAATACAAACATTTGAAATATGTATTGACAGTAGTTTCTCATCATTCTGAATATCCTCCTTTATGCTGTCAATCTTTCGAAGAGATTTCACAAGCAAGTTATTTAACTTCTTGCTGGAAACACGAAGTTTCTCCAGCTCGTTTGATTTGAGGAACCTCTTCTCTTGGATTCGAGCAAGCTCAGTGTTCAAACAATCAAATTGTCTCTAAATATTACACAGATTCTGTACTTTAAGCTCTGAAATTCTCTTCTTAGTTATTTTATCAAACTTCTCGGCAGAGGGTTCTCCAATGATCTGCATCTCTGGAATATATACAAAGAATGTTACCTTGGTAGAGGGTATCCTCTAGCTCTGAATATTGTTCATTAAATCTTTCCTCTACTTCATTCATCTTGGATTCTAAAAATGTGGACTTATTCATGTATTTCAAATTTTTATGGGTATGAGGCCCTCCAGATTCAGACTTTGTTTCCTTACTAACACTTCGGAAGAAGTTTTTGATCTCAGGAACGTTAAATTCAGAGTCCCTGGCAGAGTACTTTGACTCTGACCTTTGGAGATCATATTTATTAGCAACTAATCCTGACTTGAAGTACAATCCTTTAAGGTCGTCGATGTTTGTTCGGTTCATGAAGGCCTTCGGCTTCTTGATCACCTTATTCTGAGGATGGATATAGTCAAAATTGCTGTTCAAATATGGAGCTCTTTGGGTCTCTGACCCAAAGAGTGTTGTATTTCTGCTTGCTATTCCTTTACAGAAGTTGTTATGCTCTAAACACCCATGATATTTCCTTTAAAATTTGAAATTTATTTATCAGATTCATTAAAATTTAGTCCAGCTTACTTTCAAACTGTGTTAAATTTCTCCCAAGATTTTCTGAGAGAAATTCATCCCTTGAATAATTACTCATAGGTGTCTGCACCACTTGGGTTTGGTTAAAGTGATGAATTCCAGAGTCGAGGCCATCAATGAACTCCAGTGTTTTGTTGAACTCATGTTCATCCTTCTTGATAGCTAGATTTCTAAACCAAAGACCATATATCAAGTCTCTCTGAAGTACAAATTTTTGATTTTGCAAAACAAAGGTGTATGTTAAATTTAAAAATTATTTCAGAAAATTTCCTGAGGATTCAATTGAAATTTACCATTGTGGCTGTTTGGATTTCGCCTTTTTCCTTCTTTTAGTCTTTTTCCTTTTAGGAACATCATCTCCTTGCTCTTTGTTCATATCTTCTGTCTCTTGTTGAGTGTAGACCTCATCTGTGTCTGCATCCTCTAAATAGTCTGGGAGACTAATTTCTATAAAAACAGATGATTTCTGCAACTAAAACCGATGAAATTTATTGAAACTTAGATATCTTTTAGTCTTAGAGGTAAGAATATATCAGAAGCATTTTAAGTCAGAATGCATACCAGGAATTTCATTGTGATTATAGAAATCAAAATGATCTATATTCTCCGCCATTTCAATAATTCTTGTTTCAATAATTACATTTGACTATGGGGTTTTGGGGTTTTGGGGTTTTGGGGTTTTGGGG